CGCCGCGAGCCTCGCCGGCGGCAAGGGCGGCCGCAGTCGAGGCGACGCGCTTGGCTTGCAGCTGGGGCAGCAGGACATGGTGAACCAGCTGTGCGGGGAGTTCGCCGAGCTGATTGATGCCGACCTGCTCGGGCTGCGCCTCTGCGTCGGGCCCGAGGCCGAGCTGCAGTATGCGGTCAAAGATGTGCTGATGACGGGGGGCGGGCCTCTCCCCAGGGGCTACCCAGCGTCCGCTCGGTGGCGACGCATTGCCGCCGTCAACTGGGATATTCTAGCCCGCCGCCGAAGACTGCGCGACGCGGCGGCGATCCCCGATGCGCTGGGGCAGCTGAAGGCCCTGCGCGCCGAGGCGGGCTCGCTGGCGGCTGGGGGCCATGGGGGGCGACCCGGCGCCAGATGAGGAGATTCGGAAGTGGGGGCGCCAGCTCCACGAGCTCAGCCACCTCAGCTATAGCCAGCTGGAGGCACTGGAGTAGGAGGCTTGTGGGCTTGCGGCGAAGCTTGAGGACCGCTGCGGCAAGATGCGGCGTCAGCAGTGGCGCGAGTGAGCGCGCGAGGCCGTGCAAGATGGCACAGGGGTTGCGCGTCGCTGTTGCAGAGCGCCGCTGGCCTGGGCGCCCGACCTCGGTGGGGCGAAGGGGGCAGCAGGGAACGCGGCCGCACTCGACGCGCCGAAGGGCGAGTGCCAGGAGGTTTGGCGCCGCGGCGAGGCGCTGCCGCTGGGCCTCGGCGAGGCGCCCCCCGACGCGGACCTAGGGGAAGTAGGGCCGCCCCTTTCGCCTGATGACGCCGGGAAGGCGGCGGCTGCCTTCGAGGGGTCCACGGCCGCGGGGGTCGATTGCGTCAAGCCCCAGTTCTTCGGCCACCTGAGCGACGCCGGCTTCGTCGCGCTGGGGCAGCTGCTGCAGTTGTTGGAGGCGGCGCGCAGGGCCCCAGGGCAGCTCGACATGGTCTACATCTTCTTCTTGGCCAAGGCGGAGGGGGGCTGGCGCCCCATTGGGCTCCTCAGCGGCCTGGCCCGCATGTTGGGGAAGATGCGTCGAAGCGAAGCACGGGACTGGGAGAGGCATCGCCCCGGGGAGTTCTTTTATGGCGGCGAGGGCAAGTCATGCGAGGACGCAGTCTGGCCCCAGGCTTTCGACGCCGACATGGCGGTGGCGATGGGGCAGCACTCGATGGCGTCGATGCTGGACCTGTCTAAGGCGTGCGAGCGGGTGCGCCATGCAGGCTTGGCGGCTGCAGCGCGGAGGCATGGTTTCCGAATGCGGCGCCTGAAGCTCATCCTCCGCTCGCATGGCGGACGGCGCAGGCTCTGTCTGGGCAAGTGGGTGACCCGGGCCTTCTCGCGGAGGATCTCGATCGTCGCGGGCAGCGCGTTCGCCGCGGCCCTGCTGATGGTCGTGCTCCTCTCGGCCATGGGCCTCATGCAGAGCTGGCTGAATGTCCGTGCCTACCTGGTCGTGGATGACGTCACCCTGGCGGCCTACGGTCGGCTGAGGGACATGGAGTTCTGCATTTTTGGCGCGACCAGGTGGCTCTGCCAGAGGCTGGGGGAGGGCGGTTTCATCATCCCGGTCACTACAGGTGTCATCGTGTCCAGCGGCGTCGAGGCCGGCGAAAGGACGGCCCGCCGCCGCGGGAAGTGGGACTTCAGGTTGCGCCGCAAGGCCAAGAACCTGGGGATCGACTTCACGCTCGGCGGCAACGCCTCGCGGGGGTGCTTCGAGGGAGGATGGGGCGCTCTACGGCGAAGGCGTCTCGCTGCATGCAGCCGAGACGAGCGGGGGCCATGCTCGGGGCCGTCTCCAGGGGCAGCGGCTTCGCCACCATCCTCCATGGCGCCCGAGTCAAGGGAGTTCCGTCCAAGGTGCTCGACCAGGACAGGGCCATCAACGGCGCGGCGGTGGCAGGCGGCCGTGGCAAGAGGAGCAGGACGCTGCAGTTCGCTATCCAGCCTGGACATGGATGGCGCCAAGACCCCGCCTGCGCGGCGAACTGCTTGCCGCTGGTGGCGTGGGCCAAGGCGGTCTTCGCCCAACTCAGGCCTGGGGCCAGCACGCGCCAGGTCTTCGAGGCGGCGCGGCCAGCCCGCTGGGGCCAGGTCACGGGGCCTGCGGGCGCTGTGCGCCTCAGCCTCAGCCTAGGCCGCGTCGGGTGGGCCGCGGAGTCGCGGGGCGTGTGGGTCACTGACAGAGGAGAACCGGTCGACCTGAAGTCCCATGGCCCGAAGATGGTCAGAACGCTGGTCGAGCGGGGGGGGCACAGGTCCCTTCTTCGCACTGTGCCCGCGCACATCCACGAGCAGCCGGCAGGGCCACCCGCGACTTGCCCTGCGCGGGCGGCGCTCGAGGTGCTGAGGGCGCAGGGCGACGCGGAGCAGGTAACGCTGGTCGAGTGCTGGGTGTCCGGCGGGCTGGCCCCCCAGACCGGCCTGTGTGCGAAGCGAGCCGCCACCTCGGCCGATTGCCAATGGTGCGGCGCTGGCCTGGGCTCGCACCACCGCGGGCTCTTCGCTTGCGACGGC